AATGTACGACGTGGTGAAGTGGGCTTCGTCTTCTCCCTTTTCTGTGTTCGTACCAGTGCAGTTGGGGTTGCCATTTTTCCTTTTTTTTATCCCGTCTTCCCTATAACGTATATGAGAAGTTTATATATGCTTCGAATCCATGACCCTGACGAGTGACAATGACAAGTGGTAAGCCAAGACGGCTTCCGCAGGCTTCTTCGCTGTCCACTTTCAACGCTTGCACCCCATTTCGATCTTTTGTGTGTGGTGTGTGGTGTGTGGTGTGTGCTGACGATGCTGACGCTGACCTTCCTCAACGGCTTCGGCCCGCTCGCATGCTCGGCGGCACGGCAACGGGCTGGTGGGGAGGGGGGCTGGCTGGCTGGCTGGCTAGCTGGGCGGACGTTTCATCTCGATACGGTCGTAATCCGTCTTTAGCGGACCTCCTCTTTTCTTTCCTTCCCTTCTCGGTCATTTCATTACATTTTTTTCCGTGAATTTTTTTTCTAAACCTCTTCACGGAATCAGGTAAAGTTCAATCAGGCACCATGCCCGTAGTGTGTGAAATTGTGTTTAAATCTTGAGAGGAATACTTCTTGCAACATGTTCACCCGTTACAGAATAACCCCCATGATTCCGTCGTCCATCTGCTTTTCAGTTTCGTCGTGAAAAGCAGGCGGCTGGGGGAAAAAAAAAACACTTCTTGGAATTATCCCATTCGCGCAGCCAAAAAGTTTGTGCAGCAGCAGCAGCAGCAAAGAAATTTTGCTTGCTTCGTGACCAACAGAATTTCTTCCCCAGACAGAAAGCGTCGCATTCAAGAGGGGAACGGACGAATAAACACCGGCCTTCCTGTCCGCAAGGCATCTCACGCAAGACGGGGCTCGGATGCAAAGAGGGTTACACTAGTAATGGGGACAATCGGGGACCTATTAAACTACTCAAATGTAGAAGGTTTCAAAGGGAAGGAAAGAGAAACTAGCGGTCTCCATACCTTCTACCAGTCGGCGCGAACCTTTTTTTTTTTGTGGGTGGCAGTTTGGCAGACTATCCAGTGTGCATGAAGACGGAAAACTTCGGTCCAAAGAAGAATTTACCTGATGTAGTGTATGATTGTCTCAGTGGGAATTGTCTGATATAAACGTGAATATACTCTTTTCAACAACCACCACTCAGGTGATACATAACACGGGCCATGCATACATACAACACGATCGATGGCCCCTTTTCTACCTCTCTATGCTATTTTTCTAATGGTTGGTTCGCAAATGGACAAATGATGGATGCCCATTATTTAACCGTCGTAACCTTGTCCCGTCTGTGTCAATCTGGGGTTGTCGTGACACATAACGTTCAGCATGTGCAAACAGCCAGAGACGTATCTGGTAGGGTAGCTTTGCAAGTTGCAGCGGATGAACATGACGACTGCAACACAAAAAGCCATAAGAACGGGGATGGAGACGGGTAGAAGCGGTAGGCGGTTTTTGAAAATGAAAACGGCTGCTGTTTCTCTGCGCCCGTTGATAGAGGCAATTCATTCTTGTCTTCAAGGCTCACGTGTAACGAGGACAGATCTCTCTAGTTTCTCTTCAGTTGACCGTTCATGTCTCAAAAGAGCCATTCTCGCGATTGGTCCTCGTCGTCGGCCACTCATGTTATTTGTTATATGCGCCCTGGCAGCAGATACACAGTGTCCCATGTACCTTGACGTGCGAATCGCCAATACTATCCTCACTAGTGCTGCCGTGTCAGGTCGCATTGCATGTGCAGCTCTCGGTTGTAGCTTTCCGCTCGACAGTGTAGGCATGTAACTTTTGTCGAGCTTGTCTTTTACGATGCGAGGTTCTTCTTCCACTTCGCTTCTTTCATACATAGATGCGAGCACACCGCCTGCGCCAGGTTGTCAACTCAGCGTCAACCTGCAAGGACTACGCGCAGTCTCGTCGAAAGATGGGCGGTATTGATATTCATTCGGATGTCAATCATCTATACTGCGTTATTGAAACTGAAAGCCAGACAGTCAAGATAAATATCGAAACTGAAGGGTCTCAGGGTTGACCGGGCGTTCGGCAAGGAGACTGGTGGGGGACTCGGATCGGAACAACCTCTTGGTTGGAATGTCTCCTGAGCGAACCAGGAAGTACAGTAGCCATCATATCTGGCACATAACAGCCCTGCGAGGAGTCTTGCTTGGAGGTATGTTACTGTACAGTGTGGAAGCCCCAAATCAATGGCGTGTGCTGTGATACTTCTCTGGTCAAGAGTGGCTGGCTTTTTGCCTTGTGACGGCCCAGGCCAGCGATGCCCAACGACGGGCAGCGGTTTGCGATTTCGGTTTCGAGGTAGCGAACCGACCCCCGATAAGATCATGTTTCGATAACTGTAGGGCAACGTACTTGAATCCCAATGCTTCTCCCACCTGTTCCCGCCCTGGCAGAGTCGGAAAAAGCAGATGACTTCGCCAGACTACATAATACATATGCGAGTACGGGCGCACAGCATAGGGCAGCTATTAATTGGCAGGTCGCAAGCCGACTGACATCGAGACTTGCTCTTGCTCAAAGGACCCGGGGTGTAAGAGGCGCTTCGTGGGAATGGTATGCAAAGTTAGTTGGACAGCATACAGTTCGGTTCTCCACGCAAAACACTTTTGAAATGTCACGATAGGCAGGTGAACTTGTGGCGTTTTCGGGTAAAGTAGCCTTGATCTCCGGGTGAGCCGTCGTCCTTTACCCTCATTTCATCCTGACTTTCAGATGATCAACAACGTGTTGCATGTACACGTGGCGATTGTTGTTCGCTTGCGTGAATTTCTCTTGAAAAACCTGTTGTCCCCTTTCTCTGAAGAATAATTGCTGAATCGACAGTTGTGAGCAGGCCAAAGCAGCGACAAGACTGAAGGCTCGTTTTGTGCCTTGGACATGGTCGCATCTCACCAGGGCAGCATTCCCAACACACGCAGCGCACCCAGTATGCCCGTGCAATGAATTACTGGTACAGGCTTGTGCTCCAACGACAGCCCATCACCGGCGCTGCTGCTATCGCTGTTGCCAGACAAATGTCAATGGACGCATCTGGATGGAGCGGCGGGAGCGGTTTCTCGACCGTGGTTGGTTGGAATCACAAAAAACTCGAGACATCAGTGGCGCGGACTTTTCTCCTCCGGTGTTCCATGCTTGCTGCCTACATGAGCGAAAGAGGCGGTCTAGCTGCCCAACTCGAGAGCCTCAATCAGCGATTTTACAGACCCCTTTTCAGCCTGACCCCAATCAACGCCCTTCAACTTCTGTGCTGCTGGGTCATTGAGGCTGATCGAGGTTAGTCCCCAGAGCTCATCGACCACAAAGCTCCTGATACGTGGCCATGGATGCATCACGAGGGCACCGAGTCTCTTACGAGCGTCCATGATGCCCTCTTGTTTCCGTTGTTCATCTGTACCGTCCACAGATGCCTGTTCAGAGCCGTAGGACCGACCGAGCGCAGCGACGGCGCCGTAAACCCTGATACAGGCCTCGATCTTGCGAACGTTACCTGTCTTATAGCAGGATTTCTGGGCCTGTAGGCATAGGCTCTTATAGTTGATCTGGTCACATGTTTGAAAGATGCCCACATGGAGCAGGAAAGCAGTGATCTCCAATGTCGGGACTAGCACGCGGTCCTGGCCTTGCCTGCTCTTAAGATTGCGAAGGAGTGCAGTGCACACGGCGTCTGTCTTCTTCTTCGACTGTTGGCAAAAGTCGCACAGGGCAGCTCTAGTTGCAATGACAAGCTCTTCGTTTCCGGTGTCGGCGGATGAGACAAGTCCGGCCAGGAGCTCCTCCATCCAAACATCCGGGTCAGCTTTAAGAGTGTCTGATATACTGGGTTGTAATGTGTCTTCGAATAACAAATTAAGCAAGAAGCCGAAGTAGGCTCTGGAAGAAAAAGTTGATTCGCGAACCCTAGCAGAGCAACTGGAACCTGTCAGCATCTTTGTTGACAACAACGTCAGGCAATCGGACTGGACTCACTTCGCTTTAAGAACCAGAGCTAGAGCAGTCTGCGCTTCAGCTCTTACTTTGTCCAACTTCTCGGCTGCAAGACGCAGAATGCGCAAGAACAACGCTGAAACAACCCGGACAGCCTCGTTTGTGGGAAGTCGATCGAGTCTCTCCCAGAGGAACTTTGTTGCTTTAATAGCCTGCAAGCGGACTAGAGACCCGACGTCACCCCGTGCATTGGTGGTGTAGTCGTCCAAGCCGGCGGCAATCAGCTCGAGAAATGTGTCAACATTTTCTCGCAATATATCACTCTGAGTTAGACTAGAGAGGATAGAAACTCGGGTTTCGATGTCATTATCACTCTTCCAACGCTCGACAAAGGCGCTGCACATTAAGCTTCTGTCCTGCTCAGCGACCTTCAAAGTCGCAAGTACGGAGTACGACATGGCGAGCGCAGCGAAATATCCCGAGGCGGTAGTTGCTCGACCAGATGAACGATAACGAACAGCGTCAGCCCATTCGCGTACGACGTTTTCACGCTCAGCATCTTCACAGAATATGAGCAGAACAAGCGCAGCTTCAGAAGCTACATATATGATTTCCTGCTCGGGACGGACAAGCCATTTTGCCAGGTTAGCTTTAGCAAGTCCTGCAATCCTGCTAACCTGTTCAGGTCTAGGTGTCATCTTCGCAACCAGGCTGGAAATCTCATTGCCACTTTTTGCAAAGAGGGCTCGTCCAGGCAGCAATACCTTTTCGGGCAACCTCAGCGTAGCGCCATTACTGGTCAGTACAGATGACTGCAAGACCGGGAAGGAGGATATGATCAAAGAGCTCGCTCCCTCCGCGATCAATTCCGGTTTACGGTATGTTGTGATGTTGGCATCTGTCAGGATTTCTGTTAACCCCGCAAGAGAATTGGAAATGAAGTTCGGGATAGAGTCGTGGGAAGCGGTGCTTCCTGCGTCTTGAGACGCGCTTGCAGTGTTCGGGAATGCGTCGAGCAAGGATGCAAAGCTCATAAGTAGCCCGTGTCTTTCCTCCACTTGCCGTACTTGCAGTGACTTGATCCGGTCAAGGACCATAGTCATGAAGTGCGTGAGCCTTGCAGCCGAATCGGGGACGCCCACGGCAAGCTCTGAAGCAATGGTGCCAAAGGACGCTCCTGCTGCTCTTCTCGCCATGGCGTCGAAATCGCCGATGCCCCTCCAGCCGAGGAGCGCGTGCAAAATGGCCTCGCCATACTGACTCGATAATTTGGTGACATTCAGGGCGACCTCCTGGAGAGCTCTGGATCTCCGAGCTACAGCGTGGTAGTCAACTGTTTGGACCACCCAAATTCCCTTCTCAACCGTATCAGGATGACGGCCAATCAGTTCCTGCAAGGCGGCAGAAGAACCACGTCTGATGTTTCCTGATGGATCCAGGCATGCAGCCACCACGAGTTCCGTAGCCAGAATTTGGAGCATAGAGGCCTGTTGGTTGTAGGATCTGGCTGATATCGTGGAGCCGGTGGGGACTGCAAGCAGTTCCTTTGTACTATATCTACGTGCGAGTGCCCATATGCCGAAGCACGCCGCATCTCGAACATTGGTGCCGATAGATCCGCCAGAAGTTCCTCGCCTTTCGAACGAAAGCCCGGTCAAAAGGGCATTGATGATGCCATTGAGATTTTCTGCCGGGGGTGAACGTCTGTATAGAAGGTGGGATAGAGTGAGCATCAGCCCATGCCACTCGAGAGGATCAACGGCGCCAATGTCCATGACTGGCGGTGCGTTTGTATCCTTGGGGTCCTTGACCCATAGGACATTTTTGTTCAACGAGTCAATCACGGCCTCGACAACTTCTGAGGCCATGTCAGGATCAAGCTTCAAGGTGATGACACTCAGCGCTTTGCTAGCAGCGAACCGGACTGGCGTATCATTGTCTGCGAGATTTTCGAGTAAGAAACCAATGGTGGTTTCAATAATCTCCATGCTCGACATATCTTGCCTGGACACGCGCAAGATGGAAACCGCGAGTGACCGAATCACCTTGATCATTGTCTTGCGAGCCAGTGCCGATGACATGACTGAACCGGCAGCATTTTGATCAGTGGCAGCCCCATGAACTTCGTGAAACAAAGTCAGCAGATATTTGTCCATGTCGGAGGTATCGATTGACGAGATAAGAACGCCGGACAGGAAGGAGAGAACGCCGATGTAATGGTAAGGTGTTCTTTCAAGTCCCTCTTGAGGGCGAAGAGCGGAGAGAGCCCAGTTTACTAAGGCATCCATTACGCCAAGTTGCTGCATATCTCTGCGCATGGAAACACGGACCAAGAGGGCTTTTGCGGCATCGCGCTCCTTGCCCGGGGAGGCAAGATACTTGATGGCCAGAGGCAGAATGCGAGTAGTTATACCGGGAAGACCTCGAGGCCACTGAAAACCGGGAATAGGCACGAGATCATCCTGCTCGATATCGGTTGATGAGATGGTGGCCAAATCAAAGGGGGCAAGCATAAGGTGTGAAAGCCACAACAAGACAATATACCTCTCCTCCCAGGTCCACTGCGGACCGCTACCGGCGGCGGCGGTGCTGGCATCAGTCGAGGAGGGCTGTGCGTCTTGGTGTCTTTCTGACTCCTCAAGGGCAGAGAGTACAAGCTCGAGGTACTTTGTCTCGTTGTTGAGAAAGCGGACAATGACCTTTTCACCACGAATCTTGCAGAAGGTGTACAAGATCTTGCAAATGGCCCTCGGCAACGGAGTCAACAGATCCGATCTGGTTGAAAGCAGTTTGTTCCGGTAGCGAGATTGCTGATACTCGAGGAAATTCTCGGCAAGGATGGGAAGCCATTTCGGCAGCCAGGGATCCAGAAGCTGTGGGAGTTCTTGGAAAGGATCAAGGAGCTGTGGATCTCATTAGTTCTCGCTGCCATCGTATACGACTGTAAAGACACTTACTCCGGAAATGATGCGCTCCAGCTCACGAGAACGCACACGGGATCTGACTACAGTGCCACCGGAGCCATTCTGCTTCCTGAGGAAGGGGACTAGGGAGGTGTCGAAATCGGCGATGAGGTCATTGGATATTTTTTGTAGCTTGATGTCCAAGTCGTCTTCTGGCGCGTCCATGATGATGACACAGTCTACTATACCCTCGAAGTTTGACAGTCTAGTAGGATTGAGTGATGGACAGTCGGTGATGATTTCAAGTAAGATGGTTGGTTGATGCCGGCTTCACTTTGGAGTACGGTGCCTGCCGTGAGACTGTGAGGGGAGACTGCCAAGAAAGACAGCTCATTGGCGCTGCCGTCGGTACAGTAGCCTGAGTGCCGATGTACCCCGCTTCTACAATCACTGCAAAACATTCCACTGCTCACTCTCGACGGGACAATATCGAGAGAAGGAGCAGCCAGCAACTACAATCAAATCAAGAAGGCAGCATGGACACGCGCTTCGTTCATGTATCATCGAAATCTCTGCACCTGCCTCAACTGCAGTGGTCAAATGAACGATCGGAGGCCGACGTCGGAAGGGTTTCTCGCTACCTTAGGCAGCAGTACGCTTCACGGCACTTGGCAGTTGTTCTTGCTGTGTTCGTCAATCGCAGCGGATCACAACAACTGAACAACAACCTAACAAACAGCTCACGACCTTCTCACCACAGCCGGGCATTCAGACACAGGTCACATCGGGCACAGCATGAATCGGTCCCGATAGTGTCGATACTGTTTGGTGTCTTTATTCAAGTACACCATGGCATGGTCCAATCTACCCTCATGTTCGACCCATACATATTCCAAGGTACCAAACAGACCAAACACCATTAGAACTACTGATTACCACAAGGAAGCCGCCCGTATTCCATTCCACTTGGTATTACATTACACCACCCTCATATCGTACAGCCATCGAACCCCAAACGCCATCGTAGAAACCGCGCCCATTCGAAAATGAAAACAAAAACACTAAACTACTTCTTGATCGCCGTCAACGCGCCCACCAGCACATCCATGGCCGAGCTGTGTGTTGCTGCCGTCGGCCCCTTGCCTGCCTCGGCTGGCCCTGCCCAGCTGATGCCCAGCTGGTTCTTGGAGTTGCGGTTGTGGGCCCAGATCGAGTCGGCGTTCTTGAGGATGGCGTCCCGGAAGTTGTCGTGCGGCGCTACGTTGTGGAGGTAGGCCAGATTGCGCACAAAGACGCCCTTGAACTGACTCCCGTCATCGCCACAGTTGGGTTCGCACCGGTCGATTTCGCGGATAATGCCGTTTTCGTCCTGAAGCGCCTTGAGCGCTGCATTCGCGATGGTGACGGCTTCGGCCAGATAAGACTGGTCGCCCGTCGCCTTGGACAACTCCACCAGGCCGCCCAAGATGACGCCCTGGTTGTACGACCACGTCGGCATTTTGTTGTTGACGCAGCCCTGGTCCGTCCTCTTTAGCCCGTCGTTGATGAGGCCCTTGTCGTTGATCAAGCCGCTCTGTTTGAACCAGTTCCACGCCTCGACCGTCTGGCTTATGTACCAGTCTTTCCTCGGCGACTCCCGGTTGGCGAGACTGGCGCCTAGGGCGATGTACAGTTCGTTTGCAATGGCGTTCTTGTATTTCCTGTCCTTGCTCCACCATATTCCTCCTCCGCATGTCGAGTCGAGGCCATTTACCACCATATCATCATAAATGGTTTGCGCAGCGGTGAGCATGAAGAGATCGCCTGTTGCGTCCCATCCCCGGACCAGAGCCAGTCCCCACCAACCCTCGTCGTCAAAAAAGTTGTTGAGGAATTTAGGAAAGCCCTGCGATCTTCGTTTTCCTGCTAGTTCGTCCCCTATCGTGTCGTATTCTTCCTCTATCGTTTCGTACTTGTACATCGCGACAAACTTTCCGTTCGCCCCGAGCAGCTTGTCCGCCGTCGCGCTTGTCCTCTGCGCATTGTAGAAGGTGGTCTGGAAGATTTCCTTTATTCTGATGGCTTCGTCGATGGCGGGGTCTGCCAAAGCCAAGTCGCCCATAACCGTGAGGCAGTTGGCGCCGTTCCACCAGCCAGTTGTGTTCCAGAGACCCGACGGTAGGTCATACCACTCTTGGAGCGCCATGGCAGCATCTTGGGCCTTTTGGGCATAAGTGCTGTTGTCCACTTGGGCATAGGTGCTGTTGTCGTTCACCGCATGTCGATGAGGATGGGTGGATGCGAAAAAGAGAGTCCGGGCAGCGAGAGGACCCCACTGAATGGCTACCATTTTGATCAAAAAGAGAGAATGGAAGGACAGAGGTGATCGACGAGAAGCAAGTCTCCTGGATGACAAGTTCGGTATGGGGGACCGGGGAGCAGTCGATGGCCTATATACCCGACATGGTCACCACTAGAGCCATATATGTTGGGACTGGCGAGTGATGCATTGGACATCAGTGAAATGCGCGTGGATTCCAACCATGTCGTGTGCCGTGTGCCGTTCCCCCCATGTGTTGCTTTCTTTAACGCCAGGGGCCTTACAAGGCTGTCCGACCTCGACTAAGAATTCGAGACCGAGCCCGTCATCCTATGTAATATGCCAGCCGCGCTAGGGCAGAAGCGAATCACTGTCACCCTCCGCCTGATCCATGGTCATGGACAAAGCTGGGCAGTCAGTCCAACGATGGCAGGGCAGCAGCCCACAAAAAGTCATGGCTCACAATTGCAATACTCGGCGATGCTATGCCTGTCAAGAGGCGTAAAGCATCCAAAGATTCATGTTATCAATGACGTAGCTGCGCGCGCAGTAGCTCGTTGGGCGGTCAGGGGTTAAGGCTACCATTAACACTTCAGGTCAAGAGTCCACGGTCATAGACTGCCAAGTGTTTCATAACAAAATTGGCTTCATGCCTGAATGACCCAAATCCCAAATAGGGTTGGCACCTGGATTAAGCGACAAAGGAAGTGAAGAAATTTGGGCTACCCCTAGCTTCTTCGGCTCGCGCTTATTACACCGTTGCAGTCTGGGCGGCTCTGCTACGCCTACAAGGCCTGAATGATGCCGAATACAACGCTCCCTAAATTGGCGTTGCAGCGCCCAGAAAGGGGCCTATTCAGTTATTTAGGGCGAATACAGAGCTCTAAGCTCCGTCTCTTTGGGTCGCTTCCCTCTACACTTACCTCTTCGTCACTTGTTGTCGATGTGCGAAAGCGGCGTCTTTTGTCCAACGTGAAGCGTCCCGAATTGGCAGCCCGGTCCATATCCAATGCTCTCTTTTCTGGTCAGAACACAGAGTGAAACAACAAGCTCGCCACGAGAGTGCCCTGTCTGGTGTGTCTCACGGGGGGTATTCTTGGAATACCTACTGTCCCACCACAATGTCATTGGGCATGTTCTCTCTTTGAATCTATTCACCTGAAAAGTATCATCGGACGCCCCAAGTCCAGGGCTCCTCGCAACATAGGATCATGCGGTGCTGTTCATACGGTCACGAATATCGAGTGATGGAGCCCGTTCATACGGCGCACTAGGTAACCTATGGCGTTAAATCCATCCTTCGGCAAGCGACGACAGCCGCTGAAGCAATCCCGGTGAAATCACACAATCACGAAAGCGTAGTCTGCTCGGCGGGTGTTCGGACAACCCGGGAACTGGTGATTGGCCCTAGATGATGACTGTCGGCTCCAGCATGGACGTATAAATGGGGAGTGTCTCATTGCTTCTTTACACATGACAAAATCCCGAACAGAGTACATACGGAAGGTGATACAGAGCGATGCTGTCGTGATGCGGCGATCATCATGTCCGGGCATCCCTTCTTCCTCATCGTCGTATGGCTGTTTTTGGCGGTCATAAGGCCTGGATTCCCAAAGGGGTTTCGTCTGCCCTCAGATGCAGTGTACCTCGCTTCGGGGGCTCCAAAAAAGGTCATCCGTACAGGGCACAGGACGAGTCCCGATTCCCAGACCACAACACCGTTTTCCACGATATCTCATTCCCGAATTGTGGTTAATTGGGAAAGACGGTAGTGGCTTGATTTTCAGGGTAATGACGACATTGGGGTTCAGGTACGGGGCATTGTTCGGTGTATAGCGAACTTGGTCTTTCGGTTTTTAACTCCGCTGAGTGGTTGTTATGGTTGTTGTTGGTGTCCCGTCACGTGAGAAATAAGCTAGCCATGGCCTGCACCTGAGCCCCTATGCCCCAACTTTTAGACCTCCGAACTGTGCACAGTGTGACCTATACTCTTCTCTACTTGATGAATTCAACATCACCACCATCATATTGATTCTTGTCGTTCTTATTCAGCCTGTTCACAGTGGTTCCTGAACCAACCGGACTTCCGGGACAAACCCCTATGATGCACAGGAGATCAAGTATCCACTCCGTTCACATATACTGATATGCAGTCATGATCCCTTTCCTGATAATCGTTCTGTTGATCTGTACCTCTATCAACAGAGCTGAAAATATTGACCCTGAGTTCTCTATCGGCATTCTGGGATGGTCCTACCAAGTTCGAATTGCGAGTCCAATAACCGTTGGCTTTCCATGCTGCTTGTTCGGTGGTCATTCCATCCAGATCGTCATCTCACACCCATTCCCACCAAGGAAGTTGGGTCAGATGGACCGGATTCAGTCACGATCCTTTCTTCCATCCGACTTTTACCTCCGTTACCAAAAGCGCGAGCCATCTCACAATTACGGAGCTTTCACATCTTGTCATGGACAAGGACCAAACCTCGGCAACCCTGATGTGGTGTTTCCGAAGCGTGCCACACGATGTGATCAATTTCTAGTCAGCTCACGTCCATTTCCAATCCCAGAAAGGGATCACCAAACCGACAAAACAGGTCATCGATTTACAGACCCCTTCGTTTGATCCGTCTACGAATCTTGAGGGACCTCCTCGTCTGTAGGTAAATTGGCAACGAAAAGATGTCGGTCGGTAGTTTGCTGCTGTTAAGGTTCGTCACACCAGGTGATTCCATCTTGGCGATATCTATGTTGCACGAGGAAACAGAAACACCTGCGAAGCCGGGATCGGGGGCTCCTTTTTTTGAGTTTTGAGTAACCCAATCGCTTCGGTCCACGGGAACATTATGATTTCCATGATGCTCTTTCTGGTATGCTTGTTTTCGGAGCAAAGAAAAAGTGGCTTAAGACATTGGAAGGATTTGAGACCTTCGAAAAGAGTACTCACCCCCAGCCTTTTTTTTGCAAGTTAAGGTATTGATGAGCTGGCAAAGCTTCCCCAGCACCTTCTGGAAGGGTACCTACCTAGCTAGCCACTGATGTCATATCAACGAAAGAAATGGCTTATGGCTTTAAGAGGCTGAGACAAAAGGGGTTGGTTGGGTCTTCTGGGGTATCAAGTTAGATCCAACTTTAATTCGGGAGTCTCTTGGTCTCTCCAATCGTTTTGTTATTGTCGGTGTTATTGGCTTTAGTTCGTACGCAACATCTGGGAATCCAACCTGCTAAGAACGACTGAGTTGAAGGTCTCTTGGACCTCTTCAACACATAGCTACCACTATAGTTATCCTTGACTCCATTGTTACTCATCAACTATCTCATTCGCAGTTTATGAACATGGGGTGTTGTTGCACTTTCTGTCTTCGTCAGGGATCGTCAGAAATTTAGCGGTCAGATAGACAGGAGCAGATCAGCCGGGCTTATCCCGAAGGGTCGCTATAGCAGGTCTTAATGTATGTCTGTACGTCCTCGGGGATAAAAGGGATCCGTGCATTTGGATCTCGGAGAAGGAGATCAACCAACTTGGACAGTCATTGTTGTCTGTGTGGAATGCACTCGAGCTTTGCATCAGTCTTGCTAAGCTTTGCTCCGTAGAGGTAACCTCTTCGTCTTGTGAACTTCTGAACAGATTTGTTCTTCGCAGAAAGAAAAAAAGAAGAAGGAAAAGAAAAAGAAGTCAAAGGTAAATTGTCTTGGTTTTTCCATAGCAGATGTTCGACAATTGTGTTGTTCATTCAGTGGAGAAGTTCTCACAGCAGGCTTGCTCCCAAGTACGAGTAGAGGTATTACGTGGGCAGCTATCCAGGTCTGGTTTATATAGTGTTTTGTTCTATTTCAACATATGGCCTTGTTCTGTAACCAAATTTTCATATACAATCATGAGGTAGGTAGTAAAGGTATGTGGTCTCATATATCCGGATTGTGTACTGGAAAACTCGGGATCCCATCTTTGAGGGAGGTAACGGTGCGGACATGCCATTTTGGCGCAGACATGGATTAGAACCATTCAATGGCTTTTTTTCATCTGTAGGATACCATTTTGAGCATACAGGTTCCTCAATCTCGCCGTAGTCGTCGATCTGCTACCAATCACTACTTGAATTCTTGAGCGGCACTAAACTGAGGATGTGCACGTCGGGCAGTCGGGCGGTCGGGGAACGAGATCGGAACACCCGACGCCAAGACATTCTACAAGCCGATGGCTTCCCCGATGTTAAATACCGATGGACCATCCAACCACCCTATGTAACTGCCGAACTACTCGGCAATTGATCCTCATAGCAGTAACTACACTAGCTTATTCACATGCACCCCCATACAAGCAGTGTTATTCCATCTTGATGTATGTACACTACACAAAATGTGAGCTACATTGATTACATATAAGGCAAAGGATCCCCCCAGTGGCCAAAGTCCAAAGGAACGCCAGTAAAATCACCCAAAGCGGCGATAGTCAAGGGAGCGCCGGTGTAATAATCTACATCAACATTATTCGGGGGGAGCGTAGTCCCAAAGACTCCAACATAACCCTCCGACGACGACGACGACGTCAATGACACGCCGTTGCCATCCCCTATTACATTCACATGCCCCTGCCTTTGCCCCTGGGGCGGCAACGAATGAGAAGAAGAAGAAGTGTGATCAGAGTTTCCACTGGTCTGCACAGTTGTTGTTGTTGTGGTATGTGTTGTATGTGATTCCTGTTGTTGCTTCTGCTGCTCCACCACAACCAAGTCATAAGCACGCAGAAAGTTCACCAGACAATCGTGGCACCGCGAAATGACAAGGCTGTTTTCGCCGAAGCGGGAGAGTAAGTCGACGGCGTCGCTGAGGGCGGAGCGTACCGTGGTGAGTTCGGAGTCACTGAGGAGATCGGAGAAGGAGGGTTTTGTGCCGGCAATAAGGAGGACGGTGTAGAGAGTTAGGGAGGCGCCGAAAGCTGTGAGATGAGTTAGAGATGAGATTGGTATAGTTCGTAGTTAAGTGACCTTCGCCTCCATCACAAGAGCAGGCAGCAAAGCATCAAGGGGCCGGAGTGAGTGAGAGGGTGCCAACGAATGAACTTAAGAGGTACGTACCATGATAAGCAGTCAACCACCAAGCTCCCGAGAGCAGCACCTTCTGGTTCTGCCACCGGTCCACAATCGCTTTTGCAAGCGCTATACATTCTCTGCAGGCACGGATACATCTCCGCAGGGATACTACACCGGACTCGCGCAGTAGTGCCACGTTCATATCGACCTCGCCATGCCCATGCCCAGGTTCCGGCTGGAGTCCGAGAAACTTTAGCAGAACTGGACGCTCGACCAGGGTGCATAAACCGTAGTACCGAAGGCTGAGAACGGCTCGTAGGCGTTGGGCTTCGATGCTTGGTGATGGTGAATCTAGGACAGGAGGAGGAGTTTCCGTAGTTAAGTTTTGGGGCCGTAAGTCTGATGGCACAGACTGGTGCCATTGGGATAACTTCCATGAAAAATCAAAGGCCAGACGAAGGGTGTCGAAGGTGTTGACGTGGTTGAGGGAGCTACCGCCTGCATTGTCGTCGTATAGTTGGGATACCACCTGACATGTGATATGTGAAAGTTGGACACCGCATTTGAAGGCATCTACGCTCGTTGCAACGACGGCTCGGCTTGCGTACATGGTGGGAAAATGTTCGTTGATGTCTTGTGGGGGTTCCAGTCGATTCTGAAGAGAGGGAGGGATGGTCATGGGCCGACCGAATTTGGCGCTCAGGTTGTTGTCGTTCATGATAATCAAGAACCACGTTCGCTTACGCATCTCACGCTCGAGAAGGGTCAAGTGTCGAGAGGCATCGGCTGAGTGCAAGCCTATTTGCAAAGCGGACTTGACGGCCAACGAGTGTAAGGTCCAGAGCTGGGCTGACTGAGACGAGCCATGAAGATACTCGATCATGAGGCAGAGGAGTTGTACTGTATAGGAAGGGGGTAGTATGTTAGCGGGCGGTTGCTGGAAATTAGTCAGAACCGGGACCCTTTACCGGTTTCTAAACTGGACGAGATCAGGAACTGTGGCATGACCAGGTCTTTGGCCCACTGAAAGTATCTTTCCGAGGTTTCGGCCGATGTCTCGGAGGGAGTAGAGGGAGAATTGGTACGGTACACGGTGGCAATGATCATGTAGAGCAGAGCAAGCCACACGCGGCGAGCGCCCATGAACCCTCTTTTCCGCAGGTCGTTGTAGGTGCTCATGAACGTGTCTTGATGGATGAAGGGGAAGAAAAGGCCTATGGTGCTGAAGTATTCGTGAATGATATTGGTGGCTTCTGGTTCTGCAGGGACATGATGGCCAGGTCTGGATCCAACGTTGACCCCGCCATCTGAAGGGTCTTGTCGTCCGCTCTCTGAACGAGTTTGTTGAAGTGACGGATACCTTGAAGATGCAAGTGAATTTGCAGAGGTCGGCATAGCTCGTGAGCGAGAGGTTTGATTTTGAGCCCGAGTCAAGGCTAGCGAAAGTTGGCGTACCAAGGCCACGTTGGAAGAAGGACCAAAATATGTGCAGTTCTCTCCATCATCTGTCAGTTGAACCTCGCCCATGCCATCAACGTGGGCATTTCCCTGGTGTGAACGTGGGAGCCCTGTCATTGTAGGCGGATCCAGTGGTCCATTACTCGTGCTGCCATTAGACTCACGGGTGTCTTCTTGGGCATCGATGTCGTCGCCGTCATCCTGAGTGGCATGTTGACGGCTGGTCCCAGTTCCTCTAGCATTGATTTTGTCTTCAAGAGCACTCAACCTAGAAAGGATGTCCGAAGGAGGAGTGTCTATGGTGCTTGACCTTGGGCGGTGATGCGGTGCCGGTGGCTCGTCATAGACGCAGGGCGCGTCGAGCTCTTTACATCGACCACATCTGGGATGTTGGCCATCACACTGTTCCCGTATTGCTGATGTGAGATGCTAGTTGACCACATATCTGCCTCGAGCTCTATGTAAACCGTTTGGAAAGGACGTACCCGTGACTTGCGATTTCGGCAGTTGTGACAGGCAATGGAAACGCGCACGCGCTTCCTTGGACGGTCCTCATCCATGGATTTATGGTATCTTGTATTTGAAGAAGACTCACGTTGAGACCTGGACGTTGTGGAGATGACACTCAAATGTGGTGATGGATGTCCCAGCCCTTAATAGAGGTATAAGCGTGGAGGTGGTGGTGTTTTGTGTGTACGGTGATATGTTTGCTATCTACATGCATACCACTGTAGTTCTCAAAGCCCAGGTACCCCACCTGCTGATGGCCGCGCTAATGCACGATCTGGAGCCCCAGTCGGCATGTGGTCCATGTTATAAGCGCTAACACGCACCGACCCGGCAGTTCATTCTTTCCAAAAACACGTCACCTCACCCCGTCGACACAACACAACATCTCTCTCTCCGTACAACATCATACAACATCAAAGAGGCGCCGGGTGTCCATCAACATCCGACCTGTCGACCCAGTTACCATGCAGACCCGGCCTCAACCGCACCGGCAACTTGATGAGGGCCACCTCTTTGGTCAAGTCCTTGGTGTCCAACACGGCGAGCTCGCTGCACATGTCCTCGTAGTTGGCCAGCAACACCATCACATATCCATCGCCCTCCGCCGCCTCTGAGTCGCGCGGAATGAATATGCACTCGCCCGTGAGCTTGCGCGGTCCTGGAAGGTATCGCTGAATGTCCCCCGTCTCGTGGTTCAAGTGAGCGAGGCCGTTGGACATGGGCGCGCCCCCTCCAGCGCGCGGCATGACAAACTCAAAGTCGGTCACCCCGGGCTTGCGGTCGAAGATGCAGAAGAAGGTGTGCTTGTGCTGCCGCGTCGCCACACGATCATCAATACGCGGAAACTCCATGTCTTCGTCCACCAGGTATGTCGGCTCTGCCAGCTGAAGCTTGTCTGACTGGTAGTCGAGCACAAAATTCGCAAAGTGCGCTTCCACCTCGCCCGGCCTGGGCCCCTTGCCGTTCGCGTCTGGCCACCAGAAGAAGACGTTGTCCTTGGCGTAGGCCATCTGGAGCTGGATGTGGCCCTTGTCGTCCTCGAACGCGTTGGCAACGTGGCCGGCGAATCCATGCGGCGCCTCAAACCACTTGACATCGCTGCCCTGGGCCCCTCGGCGCGGCAAGACTCCGATATACATGGGAATGCTGTAGTCCCACTGCCAATGGTCGCCGCCTTGTTTCATGCGCTCTACATCGCACACGAGGGGTATGATGGGGAAAACGACAAAGTTCTCGGTGACCGCAAAGTCGTGGATCATGCCGCACACCGGGCTCACCAGCCAGACTGTCTCGGCGATCTTGCCGTCGGGTCCAAAACTGTAGTAGCAGATGTCACGGGTGCCGTCTCCCTTGGCTTCGTATCCAAAGCACACCATCTCCCGCGTCACCGGATCGAACTTGGGGTGTGCTGTGAACGTGAGGCTCGGGAGCTGCCCGTCAAAGTCATAGACGCCAAACGTCTCGAGCGTCTCGGGGTCCATGGCATAGGGCGGTGAGTCCTCCTTGAGTGCGAGAAGCTGGCCACGCCAGTAGACAATGTTGGTGTTGGCAGTCGACCGGATCTTGAATTCGACCAGGTCGGTGTATTTGTTTCTGTATTTGCCTGAGCGACTCGTATGTCAGCGCTTCAGCTGCTATGATGCAAGACAGTGATGCTACTCACCCAGCAGGGATCGGCGTGCTTCTGCCTCGCGGACGAACTTCTCGGTCCGCACATAACGCTGCCTGAGGTCGACATGACCATCCTTGAAGTAGAAGCCACTGATGTTGCCGTCGCCATTGAACCATGGATCATTGGGGATGAAGGATGGCAAGTGTGGTTCCGGCATGACACGATAGAAGGTGCCCTCTATGCTCTTGGGGATTTCTCCGACTACCTCCAAATTGGTGATCTCGCCTTCGAATCGAACCGGTCTCATGAAACCCGCTGTGTTTTCGCCTTGAAAGTACCTCGGCGCCGGTGGAAGCTCTTCCGGTTGTTTTCCAGGGATCGCGTCCCTGTCACCATTGCCATGGCCGTCTATGGGCGCATCGGAGAAGACGTATTCAGCCATAACGGGACAGGCAAGCTAAGAACAGCAGAGTTGGAGGAGACAATAAAACGGAATCAGTAGAAGGGATAGGTTTGCTTCCAGGTGGTATAGGTTTTCGAGAGCAACTTTCCCGAGTTTATATATACGAAAACTTATACCAATCAGATGCCATGCGCAACATACTATTCTACTAAAGCCACTTAGCCGGCACTGCTGGTCGCCTACGACGTTATCCCCGCCCGAGTCTAAGCTTGAGGTTGGTACAGTATCGCATTGGTCGACAAGCCGATGAGCTAGGGGTCGGGGGTCGGGGGTCGGGTCGGGTCGGGTCGGGATAGCCCGGGCCAGCTTCCGACAACACCTTGATCACCACGGCTGGCCCGCGGCCTTTCCCCGAGACCTCTCCTCTCCTCTCCTCTCCTCTTAGGACGACGCTCTCGGTCCATGCTTCTTCACTTCTCACCGTTTGTCCCCCCTTGATACCTACCCCAGACTCTTTCTCCGACCACATGCCGGCTGTCCGAGTGACACACTGTGCCAGGTCCATTGGAATGAGAATATCATAACTCCATGGCCGTGCTCTCTCTATCCAGACATGAAGACGGCCAGAGGTTCCGGGGGTAGTGAAGCTCGTGTCTCCCCCTCAACGGTCTTTGCTGCTGAGTACACCATCCTGATTCCGGTTTTACTCAATTTTAACGTCTATCATGGCCGCACCACCTAACAGCAGAGTCCTTCCACCTTCCTTTGCTGTCACCACCTTGGACGAAGTTATGGATACCATACTATAGTCACCATTGTCGTCTCCGACAATCTCGAATGATCAAATGGGGAGCGGTTCTATGGAAATGTGTGGCCTTTGGGTGACTGGAAAATGACTGATCATACCCTGAGCGATGTCATCCGGTCAAATCGGTTTGAGGAAGCCCGAGAGGTGGTAGTCAAAGTTGCCACAACCGGTACAAGTAACCATTGTGGACCATATCTCGCGGGGCAAGAATACTGCATGTCGGTAAGCAGCTAACTCCTCTCTCTCTCCCCTTTAAACCAAAGTTGCAAAGTCGTACGTATGCAAACTCGTCGATGAAAAAAGGTAATACGTGGTTGTAGCAGTTAATCCCGGAGAGGCAAAGTTAAGCTATCATCCCACGATACGGGGGCGTCCCGGGAAGTCAGAAGCCGGCTGAGAATGCAGGGTTTGGCGTGTTTTTGTTTGTGCTGATTTTCACGTCTATGTACAGTATGTGATTGCGATTGCTCTGATGGTGTATAGGCCGCACGACGAGGGAGAAAGAATCAAACTCAAAGAAAAGAAAAAAAAAGGAAACTGTTTGACGGCCTGGTGGAGGATGTAGAGAGAGATGGGATGTCGGAGCATACAGCGCATTTGAATCATATGGATAGATAAGTTTAGAGGGCAGTTTGACTGACCTGGCCGTGAAACTGATGAGGACTAGATAAGAGAGATGCCCTAAGCCAGATTCTGAGACAAGTAAAGGGGGTTCTAGATCCCGAGGGAATCTCAAGGCAAGAGATAGAAGTTGGGCATTTCGGACGGTGGCCCGGCCCGGACGTAGAGGTAAGCTCAAAGATCGAAGTAGATTCCTACCCACGCACAGTGAGTGCTTCCTGACCTCCTTTTGATGAGGGAGATAAGATGATCGTAGAAGAGAACCCTTTCCGACAAAGTCTACAGTCAACAAAGATACTGCAACAAACGCAATGACAGTCTAGAACCAGACAAAGACCTTGAGGACCAAGCAAGAGCACAGCAAACCGCCCGTGGATTCCAGACCAGTCCGCAGGCGAAGTTGCGAACCACATCACTGGTTCGGCGCACAGTTTGAACCAAAGCTTTTCTCATCTCCCCTTGGCGTCAAGAGACGGGATGACGGGTCCTTGCACATAAGGCGATTAAGGCCAACTAGGTTCCAGGCGAGAAAAAAACAATCCAAAAAAAAATCATAATCGTTTCCCATCCCGTCCCGTCCTCCGTTCGTCGGCCGATAATAGCATTGCACGAACTGATTGTAGCAAACCATTCCGATTTTTCTGGGAGAGGAAGATGGTACCTAGGTAGGAACATCCTTAGGTTGAAAGGTAGGTACCTAACTAGTCTAACTATGTATGTGATGAGATGTCCTCAACGGCCCTTGGTCATATCGCTTCCTCCTGGGTAGGCGCTTGTGTAACACTCGGTTAAAACGAAGAGCATTTTGGTTGTTCTATGTTTCGGATTATGACAAGGCTAGAAGGAAGGATGTCCTTTATCTTTCATTCAGAAGCGGTCCGTCATAGGATGGATTACGAGGAGGATGTTTTCGATTCGTTTCGAAGGACATTTCAGAGACGTGATGGAACTAGGATGGATGGATGGATGTCTCGTTGTTGGGTAGGTACAAATATGACGGGAAAAGCCGCTCTGGTATTATATGTATGTGGCTGCTTCGGCCCATGTATGTATGCCCTGGGGAAGAGATATCTGGTGAGTGGTTTGTACTTTAACATGCCTGGGTATGTGGGAGGTATGGGCCAAAGCATCGGTACTGTCGGGTACGTATTCCTCTTTTTTTTTCTTCTTCCATGAGTGGTTACAGATCTTTCTTTAACCTTTTCCGTGGTAATCATTCGTAGTGCACTCACTGACAAATATCCGGAAAACGTTTCACGTTCTGCTTCCCACCGGCTATTCACACCCTCTTCGGCCAGAGCTCAGTTCTCGTTTTCATAGTTACATTTTGGTGGAATACTTACGGTGCTTGCTGCATGCATGTCATCGTATAGAGATTTCAACAACAAGGGTAATCGGAGGCTTTCGAAAGACACTCTCCGCTTTATACGAGAGAGGAAACTTCATGATGAGACAATGAACTCGTGAGATGATGGCTACATGTTACTCCGCTCTGGGTCTCCGTTTAGATCTTGTTGCATATTTCGCGAGCAGGGAAGAAGGGACAAACCGACCCCACGCAGAGAGGTTAAGTGTCATGGAAGGATCGCTGGAGTGTAATTTAGAGTTAGTTGACAGCTGGGGCTACGGAGCTACCTCCGGTTTTTTCCTAACTACCCACTTCCCTTCAGTCCCACTCGGTTACTCAACTTGGAATTTCTTGCAGGTCGGTTTACGAGTGAAAGCCGAGCCAACAGTCATTTCTTCGATCTACCCGGATGTGTGCCATAAGTGCCAATCCCTACGCTAAAGATTCCCAATCGAGTCAAGCAACAGACCCGACAGTGCATCCCGTCCTGCTCATTCATAGTCTGATATCCCTTTACTATATCCCGTCCTGCCAAAAGGGTTATATCTCGTCCTGCCAAGAAAGCATAAAAGAGCCTCGTATAAGCAAATCAAGTTCTGGACACCGCCATGGCAAAACCGTTATCTGTCACTACTAATCCCCCGTTACCATGGTTTGGTTCCAGCTGTTTTCAGCATCGGGCCCTGATCCCGTTAGTGGTATGCAATGCCATGTATGTGCTCGAACCCTTCCACCGTCCCATTGGATGTACTGTATAGCCCGCGGCGGAAGTTTCAGAACTCGAGAGCTAATCCGCTGGTGATGCGTGCACCATCGTGAAGCTCCTTGATGATGATGACAATGATGATGGGTGGGGTAGAAGAGCCGTCACATCGAGCTTCCCCGCCAAAAAGTACTGCAATTTGCAATTTGACAGCGCATGTGCAAGTACCGCACCATGTACCTGTACAAACCCAACCCTCCCTCTCATCGGTCGTTACATGGAAGCCGTTGTTGCGTCGTTGCGGTACCTGCTTGAGCGAGCTGCAGCAGAGCACACCACTCGCACACCATCACACCATACCATGTAGTGTATGTAGAAACCCCTGCAGATGCTAACCCTCCATTTGGCGAAAAGCCCCTCTTTTATTTGAATATGTCAGTTGCCTGTATTCCATCTTATGCAAAAAGGTAGCGTTGGATGCTGCGCTTCTAGCGTTATGCAAGCCAAAGCAGATCGGGATCTAGCGCCTAGCGTCATGCATGTAAGCTGTAATGGAAGCTTGGTGTGAGTGGGTGGGACCTTTGCGATATGTCCATAGGGCCAACTTGGATTGGAGAGCAAGCTTTTGTCTTTTCTTCTTTTCTATTTTTTGACATGGTAATTTACCTCCTGAACACAAGATCGAAACCGAACCCATAAGCACTTGCCAGATTATGGCAGCTCGGCGGAAGGAAACCTAATGTCGGTTGCTCTTGCTGTTATCCTCCCTACCCGCGGTTGGATTACTATGAATGTCTCTTTTTCTTTTATTTTCTTCCTTTTTTCTTGCATGCTTCTCGATCATGATTTCGTATCTTACAGTACCCTCGATGCACACGTTGGCTGTGCTTGTTCACATAGTACTGTTAACGAATTTTCCAAACCCAAAGGGAAGGTACCTAGGTATACAGCATGTTAACCGTCAACCAACCAGCCGCAACCATGATGAATTGAAAGTTCCTTCCTTCCTTCCATCAAACCATACCATAATATTCCTCAATGTTTCCCTCGCTCCTTTCCCCCGGCCCACCCCAGCCCAGACCGGGTCTTTACAATCTAACAAACCCACCGGAAGTCGCACCCCCAGTACCCCGCCCCCGCCCCCGCCCCCGCCCCCGGACCCGGACCCGGACCCGATTCTGCAGGGAACCTCAGGCACTGCACTCACTGGGATTACATACGGGGATCACTGGGAAACGGGACCGAAGTGAGTAGTAATATGGAACTCAAACCAGACCGCCGCGGCGGGCGGGAGTTACGTTGCACGGCGTTTTCCCAGCAAGGGTTTTGCGGGGCGGATATGTAGAGGAAAGGAATGGAAGGTAAGTGGAAGCGTGGGGAAAGACTATCACTGTATCTGCCTGGGTAGGTACCTGTAGGCAAGCGCGCGCGCGGAACAAGAAGAAGAAGCGGACATGGAAGTTTCCATGCCGTGGAATCTGGGGGGGGTTCCAATCTGTAACGCGCCGAAGGGTCGGAAACTCGGAGGTTTGAGGGGGACTAAAGGGATGGAAATTGGTTGGATGACTGGATACGTTTAGGGATACGTTGTGCTGAGTGGATGAAACTAACTACCATCATGTACGGCCGGTATTGAATCTATTTGATATCTTTGATGGTTTGTTTTGGAGGTTCATGAAGAAGTCCACGACGATGTCACAAGGATGAGTGACAGACAGCCTAAAGCTGCTTCTTGGGAAAGTACCATGCAGATAAAACGCACACACTGGAGATGTTTTTCGCGAAGATGGCCGGTCTTTCTCGGTCTGGCCCGTTTCGGCTCTCTCTTCCTCTTAGGCTGCTAAAAATCACAGATCAAAGTCTAGACCTGATCTGCGAAGCTGACCGTCACTAGGTAGGTACGATATCTGTATCGAGTCAAGGGAGGGACTGCATGTGCCTAATGAGGAAACCGTTACCTAATGATAGGGCTAACGATGTTCGTTTTTGGTTACCTCTATATATCGATCTGTACCTACCTAGGTTGATCAGGAAAAGCCTGTAGTTGCCTCAATTTTCATGTCAAGTCTTGTTGTCGTCCAGCATATGTATTGTGTTGCTACTACTTGGTCTAGAAGCGGGTCCTCAGCAACTAACTGGATGTAAGTAAGTGATCATGTGTGTGTGTGTGTGTGTGTGTGTATGTGTTCAACGTAACGCAATCTCGGCTACACTTTAA